AGCGTCCTATGCACTGAGCTCCACGCCCAGCGTGACAGTTGCCTGGGTCTTGCTGCAGTGCCCTGCTGCCAAACATGTCTGATTCACCACCTCCTCGCAAACACTGGATTCTTTTTTGTTATGAGCATACTTTGTGGCTATTTTGGGATATTCTCCCCCAAACTGTTGACAGGCATTCTGCCCATTTTGATTTGCACAGGCAGTGACAAACTCCCTGCACAGGTAGTGACAGTTGCTGTGGCCAGCAACTATCAGAGATGCTATTGATTTAAGACATATCCCCATTTCAGAAATTTTGAGTCATGGTGGGGAGACAGTGGGGGAAGTGTCATAGAATTTGTAAAAATTGGGTTGTAGGTTCTCAATAAGTGTTTGTTGAATGGATGAAGGGGTGAATTCTAATTCCCATATTGTGATAGAAAAATGCTTCTACCTCCTAAGGAAAAGGAGTCTCATCAGTCAGCCTGAGTCGCATGCCCACACCTAAGAAATCTCCAGTCGAGAGTGTGATAACTATACTTAAGCTAATCAGGGTTTACTTTTGAGCCTGGAATATCATTCCTATAATCACCTTGATCCCTGAAAGTAACCAGGATTCTGTTCAGAAGGTGTAGCAGAAATGTCACCTCATCCTTTTCCTCATTTTATGCATATGCTTGCACTGATACTGGAATTTTTCACCTGTAAATTCTTTGCAGGAAAGCGTTAGGGACATATATGCATTCTATGTGAGTATATCTGTTTAAAACTGGATAGTATAATCTGTGTACCTGTTGCATGAAATGTAAACACAGTGTCCTGAAAGTGACAAGATATGAGGGATGTCTTCCACTGTGGAACTCAGGATTCCTCCTATAGTGTCTGTGGCAGGGATCTAAGGAGTGACTTTGTGTCACTCCGTATATATATATAAAAAATAAAATTCCATTTTTTAAAAAATTTTAAGAATAAACTCACTCAAAAAGAATATGACATTTTCTTCCTGGTGCCTCAAATGGGCCCTCCTGGGTGCCGGTACCCTTTTCTAGAGGCTGTTAGGGTGATACCCAGAGGATTCCAATGGCCTAGATGGGCAGGTCCCCTGCCCTGAACAGCCATTTGCTAGAAGCTGCCTTTGAAGAGGGTGAGTGCTTGTCACTGCAGAGCAGAGATGGAGAAGTCTTTGAGTAATATTTCAAGGTGTAAGTGTTACATACTCCAAAAAAAAAAAAAAAGACATGTTTTGATGAAAACAGTATGGCCATTTATTTTATGAAAGGTGTCATTCCTCCTGGATAAACTCTCCAAGATGAAAAGTCTGCAGCCATACCAGAACTGGAGAAGGGGCTTGAAAGCATTTAATTCTGTGGTCTCATTTTGTAACAGGGTGGTCCCTAGGAAAAAGGGAAGTTCCAGGTTCCCTGCCCCACCCAGAAGGAGGGTGGAGCTGAGCGGAGAGAGAAAGGAGAGAGAAAGGAGAGAGAAGAAGGAAATGAAGCAGGATGGAGAAGGAGGAGACCTGAGGAAGCCACAGGGAGCAGCAAGCATGTGATGAAGAAACTGGGCTTGTTTCCTGACCCTGGACTGGTGAAGGCAGATGTGGGGGAGAGACCTGTAGGGAGGTGACTATGGCAGTGATTTTGATTTTGCTCTTTTCCTCCCAGACTTGTCCGGCCATTTCTGACCCTTTTCCATGGGTCCCGGCCAGAAGGTGCTTTAGTCTAGTGGCGGCTTTCAGGCCTTGCTTTGGGCCAACCCCTGTTTTGCCCACGAGGGGATGGGTCACTTCAGGTGTTTGATTTAGAAGTTATATTCTTTGTGTTCCGTATTGTATATTCACTGTATTAAAGTCCCTTTTCATTAGTTTTATGTGTTTTGTCTTGATGTGGCGGATGGCAGAACCCACTTAGAGCGGGCAGGTTTTGGGGCTTCAGGGGTGTCCCTCTCCCCCTGTCCTGGAACAGATTTGCTGCCCTGTAACAATTTTGCAAAGGGGAGGGCGAAAGCTTGCCTCTGTCAGGACTAAGCCCTGGCTCTGCAGGCTGTTGGGCCTCTGACCCAGCTGAGGTCTTCTGGGTGGTTGCCTCCTCCCTGAAGGGACACTTCTGTTCCAGATGACATTGGACTAGGGAGTGGGTGTGGGTGGGGGAGAGCAAAGGAGAGGGAAGCCTCTGCCTGGAGGTGGTTTGAGGCCGCAAGAAAAGGCCTAGTTGCTTTGCAAAGTTGTAAGAATGAGCAGCTCTAATCTTAGGCCTTGCAACATGAGACTGGCCAGACTTTCAGAAAGGAAGGATTCTCTTGAGACTGTTAGTTACCAAGTAGATGAATCAATCCCTTAAGAACCCCTAGTGGAAAAGATGTAACAGGTACAGGTTTCATGGATTCCGCCCCTACTCCAGATGCTGGAACTCCAAATCCCATCAGTACCTAGGAGAAGCACACCGGGACGTGAGGACGGAGCTGAGCAGCCAGGTTGGGATAAAACAGGACGTGTGGGCTCTGGGGGGACCTGGTGGTTCACAGCTGATCGTTTTGGCGCTCAATCGGTTTTCAGCGTGCCGGTGGAGTCCAAGTCAGCAGAACTGGTAGGACATCCTAGTTAACCTGTGTTTCTCTCCCTCTTTTCCTGGGTTATTCCTTTACCTTTCTCCTTATAAATAAATCCATTATTTAACCTTTTGAGTGTGTCCATAATACGACTGAATTGTAAGCGTATGGGTGAAGACCCACAGAGAGGCAACCCAATTCACATTGGGGTGTCCTGTAACAATGTGAATGGAGAGTCTTAGGACCTAGAACACAGAAGAACTCAATATGTTTTTTGAGGGAAGAAAGAAACTAAACATAACCTATATATTTACATTTCTTAACCTATATATTTACATTTATTACATATAATAATATAAAATTTATGTATCAATGTGTAAATATGTGGTTAGAAAAAGCACTGACTTAAATGCCTGAACCTACAAGCTGTAGGGCTTTGGGCAAGTTCTGCAGGCTTCATTTGTTTGCAAATCAAGGAGAGGGAAGTGAGGACAAAACAGAAAAATCAGCGTGATTGTGCCTGCTATATAATAGACACTTACTAAATGATAGTTGAAGCGGGCTTGTGTTTCATAATCTTAAGTGGGATGAACAGGTCAGGTGGGAAACTCAACACCAATGAGCAGAAGCCCAGCAGCCTCTGCTCACTTCCCACTGGAATTCGCTGCCCAGCTCAGAGAGTGCTGCCATCTGCTGGGAAGAGGGAGGAAGTGAACAGCGAAGCATCCCTGAGCATCCCGCTGAGCAAGCTAAAGGAGGGATGTGGAGGGATCCTGCAGCTAAGGGCTATCATTCCAGACAGGCAAGGCCCTTCCGACTGGCCACCAACTTGTCAGAAAAATAAGATTTCGATTCATTTTTCTTTCTAAAAGTAAGTGATAGGTTCTTGGCCCGACAGCCCCCGCATTGCTGTTGTGGACCAGCCCTGAGGGCAGCAGGCAGAGTGCAGAGAACGTGGGCCCCAAATGCATTCTCACTGACTCTGCAATTGCCTGGCTATCTCCTTCCCCATCTGAGTCTGACTCATCCCAGCTTTCCTGCTTCATCACCAAGTATCACCCAGAGCAAAACCAAACAATGATATGTGTTGAAGTATTTGTTGAAGTTGCTGGTAGAATTCAATACAAGATGATTTCACTTATTAAGGCCCCCATCTCTCCAAATTCCTGGGTTTGGAGTGCTTCTTAAACTTCCCCAAGCACATCTTAAGCCCAGAAGATGGACAGAAAGCTCACTTCTGGGAAGTGTTGGTAGCGGGAGTGGAACCTCATCTAGGGAAGGGAAGGGAGGTGGGACACACAGTCAGAACCGAAGCTAAGATGTTGCAGAGTGCCCACGTACACACACTTAGAAGATGAATAACCAGTTGCTCCCAGATACTTTGGATGTCTGAGGACCCCTCTATCCAAGTGGTGAAAATAACCACTGTATCCTCTCCTAAAAACCTTTCAAAGAATATACCTTCACCCTAATCACCAGGGGTAAAATGAGATAGAAGAAATCAACCCAGGGCTTTGCTTTGGGGAGCACTGAGAGTGTGATATTGGGGTTCAGAAAGCATCAGCTTGGCTTATCCTAGAAACCCAAAGTTTCTGAAGGACATCTGGTCTTCATTTGATAGCTCCATGCAGCTCCTCCGGTAGGTCTAGTAACTTCCTTCCAGTCCAATCGGATATGTCCTGGGCTGGCTCCCTGGGACAGGAACTAGTTTCTGTCCCCTTCCATCATTCCTCGCAGGCTCCCAGTTTCCCTTGGATGGTCCCTGCGCACCGCCAAGCTGCAGGTCGTGCTGACTTTGGTGGCACACGATGGGTGGGGCCATCTCTCCAGTCCGCCTAAGCAGTCGATCCTTCCCCAGGGCTGGAAGCTTGGAAGCCATCAGAATCCTCATGCTTTTTACAGACTTCTTGCTCCAAACCTTAACATACCTTTGAGAGAAAGCATTACAGCCAGGTCAACCACAGAACTTTCACCCGACTGGCACATCTGTGACTGCAAAGAGGGCGTCATTAATAGCCATGCTGGGTGGCCGCACAAACGGGAGTCCCGGGCATGGTGATGGATCATCTCCAGCGAAGAAACAGGCCTAAGAGGAGCAGAACCCAGTCGTTACAACTTCTCCCTCTCCATGAATAAAAAATGAAAGTATAAACCTCTTCTCATCAGAGCAGCGGCAACTCAGTTTCAAACTGTGTAACTACCGTTAGTCTCCCCGAGGCTAGTCCCGCTGACAGGTACTCTCTTTGGTGCAAGCTGAGATCAGAAGAAAACCCAGCTGATATTTCTTGTTACATGGAGACAGCCAGTATGCCAGGGTGGGAACAAAGATTTTGCAGTTAATTATTAAGAAGCCAGTTCCAGGAGTGGCAGCCAAGGGTTATTCTTCCTCAGATGAACCTAGCGGGCAAATCCTGTAATTCCACATTCGGCCTCCAGAGGGCAACATCTCTCTAGCAATGACCACGCCACAAGCGGTGGTGCAGGAAATACATTTAATTGGCCAAGAAATGAGGTTTGATTTTGATTTTTTTTTTTTAAAGCAGATCGATATATTTCCAGTAAGTAATTTCCACCCCTAATAGTCTCACGTAGAGACATTGCTCTTTTCCTACTTACAGGGATAGGTACATTGTTGAGGTTTTAACAAATACTTATGAATTGATCAGTTGGCTGATGATAACCCAGGCTGACCTGAGGTAAGGAGAACACGGGATGAAATGGGAGGAAAGGAACCAGGAATTAATGTGCATGGAAAAGCACTCTTCTTTCCGGTTAACAGCTTGGGGAAGGCAGAAGGGGGAATTCATTTGAATATTTCCAAGGGCCTTTCTCCTAGATCAAACCACGATTAAGTCTTTAAACCAGTAACAACAACAGCAAAACACAGAAACCTATATTGGTTTTATAAATCTTCCTCCTCATGTCAAAGATCCGTCCTACTTACGCATTCGAGAATCGAGTCCCAGTTATGCAGGCTTCTACATGTTTAAAGTCTTTACACTTAGACTCAGTCCTTTTAGAGGCATTGACTGAAGCCTCTGTCCCTGTCCCCACCTAGACGATGCAGAGACTGACCCAAATCACCACAGCCCACCCACCGCTGGAAGGGACTGCTGAGACAGTCTCACAGGGCAGCCCTGACCTGGGCAAGGCAGCTGGCCGGCCTTGACGAACCTAGCAGTAGACACGCAAGCTTTTCTTGTTAGCGAAACTCCTCCCACAGAAGTGACTGCTGGTGCCTAGGGCCACATGCCCCTACTTGGACGCACCCTGAGCTAGCGTCCATGACTCTGATGGGCTCCCTATTCAGTTTTCCAGGCAGCAGAGAATCAGCACCTTTAAAACCACCAGTGTCCCCGAGCACCTTGATCCTTTTTCTGGAGAGGCCAACAGACCTAGGCAGCTTTGGAGGGTAGAGGGAGAAGAGCATCTGTCCAGGGGAGGGGACAGGTTGAGGGGAACACCCCACAACCCTCTGGAGGGTGGAAGAGTTCCACAAAAGTTGGGCAGAGGCCTTTCAACTTTACCCAGTGACAAGGGGGTAGCAAAGGCTAATGGCCTTATCACAGAAGGCTACTGGCCTGGGTCCCCCATCTCCCGGGGCTTGTGGTCACATTGCATCACTGGGTAAAGCCTCTTGCAGGAGAGGAGGCAGCAAGGCGACTGAAGTAGGAGCAGCTGGGCAGGAGACCTCTGGGATCCCATGCACCAGCGAGGCTGTTGGAGCCAGAGGCAGCTGCCTCCCTGTCCAAGCAGGAGCAGACAGGGCAGGAGCCAAGGCCGCCTTCTTCCACCCCTGCACTTGCTATGTGTAGAATTCTCACTGCTGGCCCTGAGCACGTGAAGAGGAGGGACAGGGTGGAAGTGAGACGGTCCCATAAGCCTGGGAGGATGCTGAGGCTCAGGTGTTGGGTCACCCGAGGAGGGGAGTGAGCAGTGGGCAGGCACTCCCACAGCCAGGAACCAGTCCCGCCCCAGGACAGGTGCTGGCACAGTGAGTGTGGAGTGTGGTGTGCCATGCAGACAGGGGTGTAGGCCAGGGTCTGCTCTTCCCTACCCAGCAGTGTGGCAGGAGCGACTTCGCTGAGGGGTGTCGATGACTCAGAAGCACTGAGAGGGTTCGTTCTGGGGAAGCAAGTGTGAAGATGGGGAGGCCTTTGTGCACAGGGGGCGTGTGGCAGTCACAGAGAGGTATCATGGGCATGAGAGAGGCTCAGGCCCTGCCCACCTAACTCCCCAGCCTAAATGTCTCCACATACAACCAGGCCCCTTCCCCACCTCACCCAGTGACGACCAGGCAGCACCCAGCTTCTATGGGCCTGGAGCAGACCCTAAGTAAGGGCCTGGGTGGGCGAGAGCAGTGGGGTCCCTGTCCTTGGAGGGTGAGGCTGGCCTCCAGGGGGAACTCTGATCCAGAGGAGAGCAGAGAAGAGCCAGGTACAGTCAGGTCCCCCCCTTCTGCCCCGTGGGGAGAGGGCTGCAGGAAAGACTGGGGGCGCAGGGGAGAGCACCCATCACTTTCCGCCCCGGGGAAGTGCGGAGGCAGCCCCGGGCTGCGTCGCCATGATGTGGTAGATGGATTCCCGGAAGCGCTGGTCTCGGCTGAGCCGCTTGGCCACTTCTTTCAGCTCCTCCATGTTGTTGGCTTCCAGCTGGGAGGACATGAAGGACTGGGACGGCTTCACTGGGGAGACAGTAGGCTTCACTGGGGAGACAGTAGCCCGGAGGAACTGTGAACAGCTCTCCTTCCACAAAGGCTTGGCCCTGCCCCAAGCCTAGCCAGCTTCCCGCACTCCTGATCCTACCCACTAACTTCCCCAGCTGCTCATCCAGGCTCCTCTAATCCTAGGAGAAGCCCAAGGCTCTCAGAAGTCACCTGTCTGGCCCTCCCTGGTGGTGCAATGGGTTATAGCACAGCACTATGATGCTATCAGCAGCCGCTTCAGCATGAGCTGATCCCCGGCCAGGGAGCTGACCCACATGGTGCAGCAGACCTCTCCTGACCTACCCGCTGCTCCCCTCAGCAGTGTACTTCATCAATCTGCCTGTTCTGCTCCCCACTCTGTCTCTGGTGAATCCTCTCACCCCCTGCCCCTCTGGCCTGTACCCCAGTTCTGTATGCATATATAAATAAATCTGCCCAAGGTCAGTGGAATCGGAGGCAAGGTCGCAACATCCAGTCTCAGAGCTGGGCCAGCTCTTCCCACTCCCCAGGCCACCTCCTCCCTGTCCCCCACAGCGGGGGGCCAGGCCCAGGCCAAGCAGGTGGCCACACTCACTGTCATTCCAGGACGTGCTGGAGCGGCGCCGGTGGAAGCGGCAGCTCTTGATGCGGCGAGTGGCCGCCTTGTGGATGTACACGGAGTTCTTCATGATGACCGGCATCTTGGCCTCCAGCTCCGCGTTCCGGATGCACTCCTCAAAGAACCCTGCAGCCACAGCTCAGCTGCATCCTTCCCTCCTGCCCCAGCCCACGCCTCCAAGGTGCTGAGGCTGAGCGGGAAATGGGTTGACCCCACACCTTGGTCGTTGGGGGCTGGATCTGTGCCCCCCCACTCCCACCCCCACTGATGAAGGGGCTGGAACTGTGCTCCCCACTTCCACCCCAGATCCAACAGCCAAAAGGAAGCCAAGCCAAGGAGATGCCTGCAGGCGGGAGTCTGAAGGAGAAACTCCGGCAACCTCTGCAAGTCACCTAAGCACATCGGGCCCTGCTCCCAGCTGGGCAGAGCTCTGGGGCCCAGGCACGGGCGGGCAGGGCTTACTTTTCAGGTGGCTCACGTCAGCACGCATCCTGTCCTCCTTCTCCTTGTTCCGCACCTTGGAGTTGAGCCCTTGCTCCAGGCTCCGCAAGGCCCCCTCCGCCTCCCGGAGGCGCTTCTCCAAATCCATGCGGACCTTCACCTCAGCCTGAGGGGACAGCGGAGAGGGAGGTCCCGGGCGCACATTGCTGCCCTCCCTAGAGGCCCACGTGAGCGGCTCTGGCTCGGGGAGGGCTTTCTTCCCTCTGGACTTGGATGCAAGTTACCCTACCCTGCCTCACACCTCACGCCCGACCAGACGGCCTGCACTCGGCCCCTGCACCCAGTGGGTGTCCCCTAGGGTGCTCAACCAACAGCAGGCTCACTGCTCTGTCCCCCATGGCGGCTCCCACACCTGCACCTGGCTGGTCAGGTGGGCAGAATACATCAGGTAGCTGCCTGGGGAAGGACAGGGATGTGGGATGGTCTCCTGTGACCGCAGGCCCCTGAGAACCAGCTGTCCCTAGCAGGCCAGGCCAGCACCTTGAGCTCCTGCTCCGCCTGCTGCTTCTCTGCTGTCAGTTCCTGCAGCGAGTTCTGCAGCGCCTGGGACTGCGTTGAGTAGAACTCCCGCTCCTCCTCCAGAGCCCGAGAGCGCTCCTCATTCTCCTTCATCCTGCGAGGGCAGAGGAGACAGCTGCTCAGTGTCCGCTGCCCAAGCGGCCTGCGACGGGGGCAGGCGGTCATAGAGACCTGGGTGGAGGAAGCCCGAGCCCCGGGCTGCCCGAGCCCCAGAATACTCTATGTCCTGTGTCCCAGGTGGTGTGAGAGGGCTGTGGTGGGTGAGGGGCATGGAGGCAGGAGACTGGCATCAGGTCTGGCCTGCTCTGTCAGCCTCTCCCAGGCCAACATCTGTTACAAAAGGGCTCTGAGGACCGGCCAGGCTGCCACCTGCATCTCTCTATGGAGCCAGTGGCCAGCAGTGTGTTCACAAAGCCTCACACCAGCTGAGGGCATTGAACGTCTCTTCCCATTTGCCTGGCAGGGACATTGAGTCCTGGGCAAAAGGAAGGGAGTGGCCTACCTGGTCATCGTCAAGTAGAGCCCAGAGTCCACCTGTCCTGCTCTAGGGAAGCTACCGACCCCCACACCTCTCATGGCCATCGGGGTCCTGGCCCCTACCGCTTCTCTGCCACCAGCTTCTCCTCCAAGAGTTGTTGCATCTTCTCTTCAATTTGCCTGAGGTTGCTATGGAGACCTCCGCTGGGAGGGGGCTGCTCACTCTGATTGGCCAGTGTCTGCAGCTGGTTCTCATTCTCCTCCAGCATTTCCAGGGTTTTCTTCTTCTCTATGGAGAGTTCCTAGCATGGAGGGAGGGAAGGGAAGTAAAGAAAGAGCCTAATTTAGGTTCTGTAGCCTGGATGCCCTCCCTTGTCTTTAAACTTGAGGAAGTGATGCTCCCTTGTCTCAGTCCTTGAGTAAGGACCCCCAAAAAAGTCTCCATTTATCCCTTGAGGAAAAAGGCCAACCAAGATCTCACAGTGAGGCAAGCTTACTTTTCACGGGGGGAGTCAGGGAGGAGCCAATGCGGCTTCAACAGGGCTACAACAGGGCTCGGGCCCACCAGCACCAGAGTCTTCTGCAGCCCTAGTTCCCCCAGGGGTGAGGCAGGAAGTGGGTGGGGCTTGTGTGTGAAAAACCCTTCAGGAACCAGCCCAAGATTTCGATGTTCTCCCCACTTAGCAGAGTAGAATCTGGCACTGCACAGTAATTTCAGAATTGAAGCTGCCCACGAGAACCACCTCCCATGATGTGAAGTAGGGAAACATTATAAAAGGACCCCAAGCCCAGCCCCAGTCAGGGGAGGGAGACTGGAAACCCTCACAGTCTCCAGGGAAGTTCGTGGACAGTTCAGATCCTCCACCAGGTGCCAGGCTTGCCCTTGGTGCTGGGCTTGCAGAGATCTTGACAAGGTCTAGTGAAGTTCACAGTTTGGAAAACACAACCTCGTGTGACCTGACAGGTGCCAGGAGAGCCCAGAGCTCAGAGCAAATACCTGCTGAGAACAGCCAGGAGGTCTGGCTGAGCGAAGTGTGAGCTGAGTCTCAGAAGGCTGAATGAGCTCGCGTGGCAGGACAGGCTCTGCAGAAGGCTCTGCCTGGCCCGGGTATGGAGCGCGGAAGCATTTGGCTTCCCCAGAGCACACCAGCTCAGTGGCTTGGAGTAGGGGGGCATGTTTATGTGGGGTGCAGAGGGGCAACTGAGATTGGACAGAGGGTCGGAGAGACCAGGCCCATGTCCTTGACACAAGCCACCTCCTCCTCCTCCTCACAAGTTCTGTGCTATCAAGTGGAGGTGACCTGGCAGCTGATTTCCCTTCATGTTCAGAAGAGCCACAGAAGGAAGTGGTGGGGGCCCCACCGCCCACCTTCATCCATTCTCCATCTGGTATAAAAACAGAAGCACTGGAAAGAGTGGGTCTCCTGAGGCCCCAGTCACTGCAGGACAAACATGAATTCGCCCTGGGTCTAGCTTTGGGCCTCACAGGCTGGCTGGAGTTCCCAACAGTCCACAGGCAGGAGACCCTATAGGTCAGCATCCCTTCATGCCCCGTCCCACTTACTGATAACCCTCTGGGGAAACACTGTTGGCAAAACTACCACATGGCCCGACCCCGAGTCCCCATCCCAGCCACCCGCTCTCCAGAGGCCCCTCACCTCCAGCGTCTGCTGCAAGGACTGGGTGAGGTGCCTTAGCTCCTTTTTCTCCTGCTCCACACCCTTGAGGCATCTTGCGGTGAGTTCTAGCTCCCTGCACGGACAGAAGGCTGGTATGGCACTGCCCACCCCTCCTGGTGCCCTCCGGACACAGAACCCTTCTGCTTCACCTCCAGGCTCAGAGTCATTGGAAGACCAGGCCCTTTGCCTGGTCCTGACAGCAGCTGGGGTCAGGTGGTCCTGACCACACAGGCTACAGCACCTTGTCCCAGGTACCCACGCCCTGTCAGCTGGGATGAAAAAGGGCCATCCCACAGGTGAGAAGAACACTGGAGTCACAAAGGGGTCCAGCCTCACCCCAACACCCCTGGACAGTCCCTGCTAAAACTCACATGCATTCATTCTTGGGCTATGGCCGAGGCCCTTTTTTAGGGTTATAGATTCCTTGCTGCCTCCTTTATAAGCCTTAACCACCTCAGGCCTTTAAACCTGATTTCCCCTCTTCTGGCTCAGACTGCCCTTTCGTCTGCAATTTTTCAAATCCTACCCATCCTTCAAGGCCTGGCTCAGCCTAACCAGGGAAGCCAAATCACACAGATGTCTTAATTCCTGAAACACAAGAGACTGTGTCTCCTTGCACCTGGTTATATATGATTTTGTTGACGTTTCCTGGCTGTGAGTCTGGTTTTCCCAACCAGATTATAAAATCCTCAAAGGAAAGGACTTTTATTCACTGCCTGGCAGTGTCTGGTTCTGGCTAGTTACTTGGTAAGATCCTCTGCGCTCCTTCCTCCACACAATATAAGTATTTCTACGTATGAGGTTGTTGCAAGAAAAATCTGGGTTAGCACGGATGAGCAGCTGTGATGGTGACAATGGCGATGATGAAGATCACCATCCAGAGCATGGTCCTAGCTCCAGGGTGGGCTGCACACATGCAGATTGACGGCCCCAGCCTGCTGGAGATTCCAATTCTGTTAGATAATTGCAACGTGCGACTGGGTTTGCAAACTGTACATGGGACCAAAGACCCTAAGGGACGCCATTAGCTACAATGGGAAAGACCTAGGTGGTAAAGCCTGAGGATGTTGGGAGTCTTGACCAAAGGCACCTCCAGGCAGGCTTGGTCCTGTCTGCCCTGGCTAAGGAAGGTTTGGAGGAGGCAGGAGGGACTGGCAACCAGTGAGGGGAGATGGCTGTGCTGCCCACAGCTCACGCTGCAGTGAGCAGAAGTGGCCTGACTGTGCTTCTATAGTTCTGTCATAACAGTGTCATGGCCACGGAAAGCGGCGTCCCCGGTGCCCCAGCTCACTCCAGGAAGGGTGGAGCTGAGCAGTGAGAAGCTAGAACACACGGGCAGGCTTGGGAGAGAAGGGAGAAGACCCAGAAGAGAGAGGTGCAACACAGGCACGTGAGGTTGGCACGCTTGCTCCTCTGCCCTGCACTTGGGGGGCCTGGGAGGAGACACCTCAGAGAGCTGCAAGTGAGAGGCCTCTAGGGACGCTGACAGGGCGGCCTCTGTGTGCTTTGACTGCGCTCCCTTCCTCCCAGGCGGGCTGGGCTCTTCTGCCCCTTTCCTGAGGGTCCCCACCAGAAGGGCCTTAGACTTGTAACACGCTTTCAGGCCTCCGTGGCCCTGCTCTGGGCCAAAGCTGGGCATTTACCCACAAGAAGATGGGTGGCTTTGGGTGCTTCATCGTGAACCACGTGCCGTCCCACCTTCTCTCCAAGGCACTCTAATTCTATTAAAGTTCTTTTCTACTGACAGTCTTCCACACCAAGATTATGTTTTGTTTTCATGCAGCAGATGGCAGAAATTATGTAGAGTGTGCCTGTTGGGAGTCAGGGTGCCCCTCATTCTGCTCGCTAACACTTCTGGGCAGAGGGTCCCCAGACCTGAGAACCCACACGGACGTTCTAACCTAACTTTCTTCCCGCTCCCCTCCCAAGACGCCATTGCCACCTCTTGATCTGCTCCTGTTCCGTCCTCAGCTCCTGCACCACCTCCTCAAACTGCTGCTTCTCGGCCTCCAGCACCTGGTTAAGGCGCTCAAGCTCCTGGAGAGAATCAGAGAGGAAAAGTCAAGGGCAACCAAGGGCCCAGAGGTCAGGAACCCCAACCTTAACCTGGGGACTTCTCCAGATTCAGCACAGTCTGGAGCACACACTAGACCCAACTTGAATTAAGTCTTGAGGCACCTTGGCCTACTCATTGACAGACTCTATAAACCAAAATTGTGGTGAGCTCAGCCCACGTGAGCCACATTTAGCAGGCAAAAGGTGGGTCTTCTCCACTGCGCGAGTCCTGTCACTCACACCCTAAGGCATGTTGGCCGGCCCTTAAGCACTGGAGGCAAATGTGAATGTGTATTTCCACTGAAGATCCCTGGAACCACACCGGTTAGAAGTGGCAGTCTCAGCCCAAAAGCTAGAAGCCAGGCCTTTCTCCCCTGGCATCAGGAAGCAAGTGCAGTCGGCTGCTTCCTGACAAGGCCTCCAGGGAACAGGAGGGCCGGGAGCCCAGGACAGGCCACGCCAGCCCATCCCTCAGGAATGGCAGTGAGTGCAAGCGTTTCCCAGCAAGTATGCACCTGCCGGGGTTCCTGTTTTCCTGGGGTTCAATGGTAGGTGGTGCTGGGGGGCAGGTGGCTGGAAGCCAAAGTGATACCACTTTGTTTCTCCACTTTTTACACTCTGGGGGGATATTATATCTAATTCACCTTCTTTCTCATTTTCTACCCACAAAGTGTGCTCTTTCCACCCAGGAGTTTGTTCTCAAAAACAACGGGAACCCCCGCCTTGAGTGGGGCTGCTGATGGGGAGAAGTTGCCATTGACCTTGAGGAAGTCCAGAGAAGCTGTTTTAGCTGAAGGAAAGGGGAGCGTCTGTTTTAGCTGAAGGAAAGGGGAGCGTCTAATCCCAAAGCCCACGACCACCATGTCTAAACTTTATTTATTTATTTTTGTATAGAAGATCTGGGGTGTGTCCCAGAGGTGCGGGGGTGAGAGGATTCACCAGACACAGAGTGGGGAGCAGAACAGGCAGATCCACTGAAACACACCGCTGAGGGGAGCAGCGGGTGAGACAGGAGAGGTCTGCTGCACCATGTAGGTCAGCTCCCTGGCTGGGGATCAAACTCAGGTCCGAGTGATAGGGCTGAGACTTATCCCCTAGGCCACCAGGGAGGCCCCGTGCCCAAACTTCTTACCCAGAGAGCTGTTCTTTTCCGCCCCCTTACCGGGCGCAGTTGGGATCATTAAGTGATGGCCCTAGGGGTGCTCCCTGGTGTCCTCAGACTCCTCCTGGCCTCCTGCACGGCCACAGTGACCCTCCTGCCCACCCAGAGCCCTCACCAAGGGCACCAGCTTGAGCAAAGTAAACCTCATTCACTTTTGGTACCAAGAAGCCAAGGAGTCCTCAGCTGGCTGGCCTCCCTCCTCCGGTGTGCTATGGCTTTAAGAAAGGCCGGTGAGTTTCGGGCCTCCGCTGGCCTCATTTCCCACCTAAAGACCTAGATAGAGTGTCTAAATTTTCCTCAGACTCAACGCTGCCCCAGATTTAGCCTCTCTGATGGGTAAGTCCATCTCTCCCTGCCGGTAGCTGTGCCTGTCACTCCATGTCCTCCCCTGGCTTCATGAATTACTGTTTTTAAGTTGCTGACAACCTACCCCAAATCTCCCTTCTGAAAGTGTATAGAACTGTAGAAGAAAATGCCAAAACTCACAAGAGGGACCTGGACCACAGCCGGGGCCTGTGGCAGCCCAAACACTGCTGGGCAGTGAAGGCCCAGGGCTGCCCCCAGCCTCACAGCCTTCAACCAAACCCTCAACAGGTCTTGGGTTTGTTTCTAGCACCACAATTCCCTGCCATGTTCTGGGGGCCGCGTGCTGCCTAGTTGTTGACTCAGGGCTTTCCAGGGTGATATACAGATCCCAGTTCCCCCTTGTGGCACCACAGGTTATAAGTGACAATGTAAAGAATTCACCGTTTTGGGTCTACTTGTTTGTTTTGTCTTGTTTATGGTAATTGACAAAATGAGTCTGAAGTTCAGCTGGAAGAATCATGGGCAAGGCTAGCTGACAAAATTTTGGAAGAGGGAAAATGTGGCTGGATTGTGCGGCTGGATTATAATCAGATGGGATATAAAATGACAGAGTCAAAAATGTCCTTTGATTGAGTCTTTCCATGAGCATTTATCAAGCACTCACCCTGGGGAAGTTTGGGGTGAAAAGGGGTCACTATCTATGCTTTCTGGCTGCCTGTTGCAGAGCCCAGGTTGGGGTGGCTGGGAGGAGTCAAGGTTAGCAAGAGGTAAGTCAGCAAGGCAGGCGCTGAGCAAGGCTGCTCCCATGGGCCCTGTGACTTGCCTGGGAGGGGCAAGATAAAGGAGCCAGGAAGGGGACAAAATCGGGCTCTCCCTCGGCAGGCTCCTTGAGGCAACGGTCTAGAACACCAGCCGCAGGCAGTCCGTGCACAGCATGGGTGGAGTATTAGCAATATGAGCGTGATACTAACAACGCAGACACTCCTGAGACGCGTGCTCTGGGCCACGCTTTCTGCGTAACCCCTCAGGTGGCACAGCAGCCTTCTAAGGTGGGCTCTACCATTATCTCCATTCGCCCTAGGAGAGGGTGGATGTTCAGAGAGTTAAGTAACCTGCCCAAGGTTACACAGCTAGAGGTGGGCAAGGTCACACACACACACACACACACACACACACACAGGGCCTGGCTCCAGAGGCCGCATCTGAGCCACCACCCTGCCCTGACCCTCAGTACGATGCTGACACCTCAGAAAGTCCAAGGCCCAATGCTGCATGGAGATCCCAAATGAAGGGAATTTAGGGGCTCCCCACCTGAAACGAGGGTCTCCTTTGCTCCACCAGCTGCCTGTGTTAGCATGGTCAGAACTTGCATTGCTGACATTTAGAGGATGTCGGGGCCACAGAGATCATCCTGCCCTATTGTTCTCCCGGGAGCAGCAGCACCCCAACAGCAGAGGCATCACAGCCTCCCAGGAGGGTCACCAGTGCTTTACCTAGTGGCGCTGATCAAATTTGTCAATGGCTCTTTTCTAGAAGTGGATTACCTACCCTTTGTACTTTTTTCGCCTGGGCACTGGCAAGGAGAAGTCCATTTCTTGCCAAGAAGCTACAGCAAGTCTGCCCCCAAGCACTACCAGCTCCTGGCTCTGCCCATCTGATTTCCCAGCAAGTTCTCTGGGAGCCCAGCACACCTCCATCATTCCCTAGTGTCAGAAACATAAGCCAGCACTTCTTGGCTATTTAGGGGCCCTCAGAATGGAGGGGGGCAGCAATCCTGAGCAGTCTCCACAGGTACCCACCTCTCTCTGCTCCCTCTGCAGGCAGAGTTCTTCGGTCTCTTCCATCAGTTTGTCTGCCAAAGCGAGCACACACACACAGTCACCGAAAGCTCACCCCAGATCGGGTGCAGGGGCTTTGGTGTCTACAGTTCCCCAAGGAAGAAGGTGGCACTGACGAGCCAGGCCAGCTGGGGGGTGGGGCCAGCTCCGGGGGTCAGCAGCTGGGTGCTGGCAGAGCTGCCACCGGCTGTCTGTCGCTGTTCCTGTTCTGTGCTTTTGCCAGGCAACAGAAGCCTCATCCTTGGAAGCTCAGCAGGTCTCTGCACCCCCGGGGTCACTGTTAACCTCTGCACTAGCGTTTGACTGTTGGGGGAGGGCAGGGTCTGGGGAGCAGACAGAGGGAAACTGGGCCCCAAGTACTTGAGGAAATGGCAGAGGAGAGGGTCCCAGGCAAAGGACTAAACCCAGACTCACCTTGTCCCCCAACTGAGCATGCTTAAAAGCCAGCCAGGGGTGCAAGGGTCAGGACACCTGCAGTCAAGTTTACAGTGGGCTGGGGGTGGCGGTGGGGCAAGTCCATGAACTCCATGTAGGGGCCGTTCCTGGGAGCCTGCCTCAAAGCTTACAGGCCTCGCCCCTTTTCACCGGATCCCCATGCCCCCTTAAAAAGCCTTTGTTTCCATTGCAAGGATGAGCTTGGAAGAGGCTACTGTGCCTATGACCACACACAGCTGACAGATAAATGGCAGAGCTGGGTCTGGAGTCAAGACTCCTACCACCAGGCTCTCTGGCCTCCTGTCATGTGGGCCAAGAGGACATTTATTCTGCCCCAAAGCTCTCCAAGCTCTGAGCTCGTCTCTGGTTTGCCCCTGGCTGTGGCCCCTGGTCCTGAGTGCTGCCACCAGGGAGCCTTGGCCTCCAGTCCTTCCCTCCGGCCAACCTAAATACTCCTGCTTCTCCTTGGCTAACTGCAGCCCCTGAGCCTCCAGGCTTTTGATCATGGCTTCTCCCAGCTGGGCGTTCTTCCAAGTCCTGGGGAGGGAGGGCAGATGGATCAGAGGAGAGAAGAGGAAGAAACACAAAATCATTCCAACAGAAGCCCAGAGGAGAAAGCGCGTGTATTTTGTACTCGTCCATCCTTTCTCTAGAATCGGAGCTCGGATCCCCTCAGTCCCAGGCTCTGAGCTTGCCACCAGCATCCAGCAGTTACAGTAGCTGGAGGTGGGCCCAGGCTGCAAAGTGGGCCACTGTGCCTGGGCCAACAGCACTTTGGGAGCAGGGAAGATTGCTTCCTGGCTCCTGTCTACACCACCTGGTGCCAGCCTGGCACGGGGCACACACTGTTGTCTTTGTCACACTAAGTAAGCAGGTGCTGAGACAGGGGTTTATGTGCAAACAGCCTGTGGTGGGCTGCGGGTTTCTGGAATCTGGACCCTGTCTTACAAAGCGCTAGCTCTAGATGGTAGTAGGCTTAACTAGGGGTCCAGGGAGGTGAGAAGGGTGTTAGGAGGCAGCCACTGCTGGATTTGCTCCCAAGAATTTGAGACAAGTTGTATACACCTGAGACTGCCAAAGCTCATTTTGCTCAAAGCTCATCGAGGAGACCCTTCACAGATGCTCTGAAACCTTGCTCACCCTAGCCCACTCCCACAGCCCTGTCCTCATGCAGGCCCAGAAATTTTCCCCCCTTGACCTCCCAGGGTGCCTCAGGGCCCACAGGGATCCCAGCAGAGGCAGGTGGTCAGGTAGGCCCAGGGTCATGCCTCCCCCATTGTGGACCTGCGAGCACTTACACCTTTCCCGACTCCTGCAGCATCTCCAGCCACTGGGTCTGCTCAAACTCAGACTCGGCTGCCAGCAGGATGTTCCCCTGCCAGGAAGAGGGGCCATAGGTGCACCTGAGAGAAAGCCACTCTGGGGGTGGAGGTGCTCCGAGGCCTCTGAGGCCCTCTTCTGCTCTCCCACCCAGCGTCCTTACGACACTGACATCCCGCCCTGGCCAGGCTGCTGGGAACCTGGCAGGGCCTGAGATGCTGGCCTGGCCTGCTGAGTCCAGCTAAGCGGCAACTTTACTCACGTGGAAGTCCTGATGGGAGATTTTCATGGCGTAGGGCATGCTGGGCTCTTCCCGGGCCTCTACCAGGCAGCCTCCCAGAGGGATGACGCCCTGAGAAAGAATTGGAACAGGCAACCCCCAACCCGCCCAGCCCAGGTCACTCAAGGCCTCTGGGAGGACTCAGCTAAAGTTGGGTCCTGCTGAGGGCCCCAGGCTGCAGGGCAGGCCAGAACTGACACCTCAGGGGAAAGGCTGGGCAGGCTCTGGGGCGCAGGAGGGTGGGGACCCAGACTGGGAGGGGGGCAGGGCATCTGTAGCCCCAAAGGGTCCAAACTGCTGGATCAGAGCAAGACAATAGATGACCCCTTACCCTCCAGGGATACACTCCCCCATTTCCGCCCCCCACCCCCCCAATCCAGGCTCTCGCCCTGGGCCCTGGGAAGAGGTGCCTCACCTTAGGATGTATATTGAAGTATTTATTGCTTTCAAAGCTCTTTTTTTCACTCTCAGAGTAGTAAAGAAGAAAGCTCTCTTTGATGATGAAAAATCTATAGTGGGGGTGGGAGGGGGAGTGGAGGGGTGACCAAAAGGAAGGAGTGAGCTTTCTTGGGACAGCAAGTGTGTCCTTGCCCATGGGGCCGTGGGACACCAGCCCAGACTCATCCTCATCAACTCCCAGTCCAGATCTGGGCAAAGGCAGCCGACCCCTGGCAAAGTGGGAAGCAGAAGACCTACAAATGGCTCCCAGGCCTGGCTCCTTCCCTGTCCACCACCCTGGGCAAGGAGGCATCCAAGGTCCTCAGTGTCTCCAACCCCTTGTGCTATTATCTCCAGTCCTTTGGGGCCTGCGTGATAAGATGGTGGGGGGGAGAAGACACAAGATCTGAGATGGGGCCTCTCTGGTGGTGCAGGGGTTAAGGCTCAGCACTATCAAGCTATCATCAGCCACTTTGGCACTAGTTTGATCCCCAGACAGGGAGCTGACCCACATGGCTCAGCAGACCTCTCCTGTCTCGCCCACTGCTCCCCTCAGCGGTGTATTTCAGGAGATCTGCCTGTTCTGCTCCCGGCTCTGTCCCTGGGCAATCTTCTCACCCTGCCCCCTATACCTCTAGCCTATACCCCAGTTCTTGAATGCATAAATAAAATAAACATTTTAAAAAATATTCTGGGGCCCTCCCTGGTGGCGCAGCGGGCTAAAGCACAGCACTGAGAATCTAAAGCCGCTTCCACATGAGTTCGATTCCCGCCTGCCCCGGAGGTGACCACATGGCGTGGCAGACCTCTCCTG